AGAACGCAAAAGTTGGGGGTGGTTCAGCGGCAAGGCGGTGGCGAATTAAGCGAGGCGAATTATTTTTCCTTTATCTCATTATAAAATTCATGTTTATTAGGCTAAGGTAATTTTATACATTTACTTTTTCCCCATCCCTGTTTCCCCTTACTTTGCTAAAAATTCAATTTTCCTTCTTGGCTTACGTATCTACCAACTAGATGCTGGGTTAAATGATTGAAAACGAAAAAACTTAAAATAGTAGCGCGGGGGCAATGTATTCCAATGTAATGTGTCTTAGAGTTAGCTTAAATTAGGGAATTAACGAATAATATTTCATTTCATGTATCTCTCTTCATGTATCTTTCTCTACTCTCCGAATAATAAAATAAAAATTACACCCTCAGCTCTTCTGCACCGCTTCGTGGTGAAAGGCTTACTGCGCCTGGCGTATGTGGATTCGCTGCGTATCTGCGCGTTTTTCTATAATGGACTCAGCTGTCTTTTTCCGCGAGCTAGCATTACATAAGAACGGTTCGGCTATGCCCTGGTTACATTTTTGGATCGGGCTCTTTAACGGATCACTCGCGGTGTCTATGGTGAAGGCAACCGTCCACTTGGTGGAGCCCCTTCGGCCGGGAATCGGACGATGCGGTAGTTTGACGACCGGAATGTTCCGCGTCGCTTCGATTGGCTTTATGTAAAACTACTCGTACTCACTCACCCCTTTGTCCGCGACGAGCTGGTTGAAGCGCTTCCACGTGCTCGAAGCTGGAAAGGAAATATCTCGGGAAAGCTTTCGCTAACCCGTTCACACAAAAAAGATCTTCACTTAGTTAGCCAATCGAAATCTTTATTCGGAGCGGAACCCTCCGCTCACCAACTCCGCACAGTTCTTTGTGGCACCACGAGGCCACCAGTTGGATCGATTACGCTGCCCTTTTTCTTGCGGCGGAGCGTTCCTTAAAATCGCCGCAAACGCTCCGAGCCTGGCTCCCGGGCTCGCTCGCCCCAGACCACAATCAGCTCCAGCTCCTCCGGCGACTGCTCCGACCGTGCTCTCCGGTAGGAACCCAGTCCTTTCGCGGCCGCGCCTCGTGGGCGGTTTCGCGCCGCGCTCCGACTCAATATGCGCCGTCGACTGCTCCACTGGGAACCTCGCACGACTCCACCGTCTCTCCTCACGACCGCCTCGTACTCCTTGTACCAGGCCCTCCGTTATAAAAAGCCAAAATTATACATCGGACCTGATCGACCCTGACCTAACCTCACCGCTCACCGACACTACGATCCGTGACCTGCCTCACTTTAGCGCCGACCTTTTGGGCGCGTCTGCCCACAACCTGCGCTTCTATTTTGCTGCTGTGATCTGCTGGTGACTTCCGAAGGTGCTTGTTCTCCACCTTGCTTGTGCGTTGAACTTCTTTGGGTCACGCCAGAAAACTTCTTGGATGAACTTCTTTGGGTCACGCCAGAAATGCAAAAGAAAGTGCTGTACCCGCTCGGATTCCTGCTTCTAGCTTCCAGCTTCCAATAACGGTTTTACACCGGTTGCCAGACCTCCGGACATTGGAAACGCCTAACTCCTTGCTACGGTCCTACTACGCCAAAAGGCTCCCAGATCGGATGCCATCTCCCCCCCCGGGGTTGCCACCTACACCGATCTAACGCCGACGTTACAAAATGCCCCCTTCGCAAGAGCTAGAACAGGGTCTCACACGATCCTGTTTAGCTAAACCACGGAGGCGTAGACTATTGTTCAAAATCTTTGGCGTGGTAGGTGCCTATTGTCCTTCTCTGCATGTCCTCTAGCCCGTAGATTGAATCTCCCGTTCTCTTACGAACTCTCGGCTTAACGAATTCCAATACTGCCTTAACCTGTTAGTGTTTCTAGACCTAATCTTATCTTCTACCTTAACCTCACTATGCTCTCCTTCGCGATGCTCGTTGTCGCCCTCGTCCTTCTCTCCTACTTGTCCCTGTTTGAGCTTAACGGAATGCGCTGGGGTGGACGGTCCGGTGCATTCGCTTTCCCGTTTTTTTGACATTTCGGACAAGATGGCTTATACACATTAGGTGACCCGCATCCAAAACAGAAGACCTTCCGCTCTCCTGCGCAGTCGTGATACCTGTGCCCCTCCTTCCTGCAATTCCAGCAGATGAGAGCTACAGCCTCCACTTCATGTGCTTCTTCGTCCGTGAACTCTTGGGCCTCTTCCCATTCCCGATCACTGCCTAATTCCGCTACAGCTTTGCCGGAGGCATAGCCCCTATGCGAGCCTTTATCTTCTCGTCTCTGGGTTTCTCCAAATGCCTTCTTTGTCCAATCCGGCTTTGACGCGCTGCTATCTCGACGCACTTCCTCTAAAAATCGTTCACGACGCCTGCAAACTTCTCGTAAGTGGCCTATCGAACGTATTGATACATTCAGTAACTCGTGGCGGATCTCGGACCTGAGATTTCTTCTAACCATCTCTACTAGGGTGGCTTCGCTCAAGGGCATACTCAACCCATCCATCAGTTGCTCTACCGCCTCGTAAAATGAATCAAAATCTTCTCTTTCGCGTTGCTTTCGGTCTCTTATTGCTTCGCGTAGGTCCTCATCCGTTCTATTGTCCCTGAAATGATTTCTAAGCGCGTCGCACAACTCGCCCCATCTCATTCCTCTATTCAACTTATGGAAACGCCAGTAAAATTCTCCCGCTTTACCGTCGAACAGCAAGCTCGCATTGCCGCACAGAGCTGAGAAATTACTATCCAGTGTTTGGTGGGTCAATGCTTCTATCCGATAGATGAAATTATCGACAGTCATCCCCTCTGGATGTCCGCTAAACCGAATCTTCCAATTGTTTATAATGTGGCCCACCTTATCTGGTCTGTACGCTAGGCTTTGTTCTGCTTGTTGCCTTATACCGTTCCTAAAACTGTAACTTTGATCCTGAATCGCCCCTTCATTATCGTAAATCCCACTGGGTTGTTCGTGGACTCCAGCTCTAACTTTTTCATCCCTTTCTGGACGCTCCCTTTGGTGGAATAGTCTGTCCACCTGTGCCGATAGCTGTTCCAGTAACGTCGCCTGCATGGCGCTCACTGATTGGGACACCAATGCTTGCAGCTCCGCTGTGCTTCCTAGAGATTCTGCCTGAGATCCTGCTTGGCTAGTCCCGCAGGGTGAGTCTGGCCGGCGAGTCTGCTGGCTCGTACTCGCAGCGGTCGTGTCACTTGCCGCTTGGACTTTCTCAAAGCACACTACCTTGCACGTCGGGCATGACGACTTCGACCTGGCATGTGTTGTTATACATGTCTTGTGAAATTCGTGCCCGCACTTGGTCCTGGCTCTGCCAGTTGCCATTTCTTTGTTGCATATCATGCAGATGGGCATCTTCATGGGTGTCGCTGCCCCCTTCTCTGCCTCTGCCGGATTCATCCTTTCCTATTTTACTTTCTAACTCTGAAGATACACTAACAGATGTTCTCTCTCTTCGACTACCAAAACTCTGATTACTATTAATATGAAACCAAACTTCGCCATCGTTTAACTTGCCTACCGCCAATACACGCTGCCTTTTGTTCTTCTTCTTTCTGCTTTGCTCCTCATTCTGATCTGTTCGGGAGGTGGCTCGAGCAACTCCCCTCTACGCCTCTTCGTCGCCCGTCCCTGCTATTCCCAGGCACCGCGAGTCAACTACGCTATCTCTTAGGACGTGGTCATTCGTAGCTCCTACGACTGAATTCCAAGCGTCCATCTTCTCTACTAGGGGGCGACGGGTCCTAACTGCCAATCTCCAGGCGTGGTCAGACATCAGTTTGCTGACTGATCCTGCTCTCCAAGCGACTGCAGCGTCAGTTCTCCCGTCCCTTTGCTCTTGTCACAACTCGCCAGTCATAACTCGTGGTCAGGTTAGTCCTTTCCCTCCTGAAATCCTACGCGAGATACTGAACTGCTACTCCAAACTATTGCTGCGACTGCTGTGGCACCGTGGTCTACCCTTTCACTAAGTGTAGAATTCCATGCGGTACCCGCTCCGCTGCTGAGGCTTTTGGTCTGGTTACTACCATGCTACTATAACCAGCCGAAATGAATTGAACGCAAAACATGGCTGCGTTTAGCCATACTGAAAACATGGCCACTAAGTTGGGCGCCAGAAAAATTTATGATAATTATTACTGTAACGAACAGTCAACCTTGTGAGGTGGCATCTTTGGATCAACGGCTGAGAGAAAGGGTTGCACGCGGTTGCCAGCTAGGCCTCGTCGGCTAATGGGTGGGTCATATAGGGCCCTTTCTCTCTCCCTGATGCTTACCTCGGAGATCATAAATTCTATCGTTAATCGATTGCGTGCACGGCCTTTCGAACTGCGGAGGCCAAACATACTCCTCTCAAAACAGATTACATTTGGACCCTCAAGATCCTCGAGAACGCAAAAGTTGGGGGTGGTTCAGCGGCAAGGCGGTGGCGAATTAAGCGAGGCGAATTATTTTTCCTTTATCTCATTATAAAATTCATGTTTATTAGGCTAAGGTAATTTTATACATTTACTTTTTCCCCATCCCTGTTTCCCCTTACTTTGCTAAAAATTCAATTTTCCTTCTTGGCTTACGTATCTACCAACTAGATGCTGGGTTAAATGATTGAAAACGAAAAAACTTAAAATAGTAGCGCGGGGGCAATGTATTCCAATGTAATGTGTCTTAGAGTTAGCTTAAATTAGGGAATTAACGAATAATATTTCATTTCATGTATCTCTCTTCATGTATCTTTCTCTACTCTCCGAATAATAAAATAAAAATTACACCCTCAGCTCTTCTGCACCGCTTCGTGGTGAAAGGCTTACTGCGCCTGGCGTATGTGGATTCGCTGCGTATCTGCGCGTTTTTCTATAATGGACTCAGCTGTCTTTTTCCGCGAGCTAGCATTACATAAGAACGGTTCGGCTATGCCCTGGACGGATCACTCGCGGTGTCTATGGCGAAGGCAACCGTCCACTTGGTGGACCCCCTTCGGCCGAGAATCGGACGATGCGGTAGTTTGACGACCGGAATGTTCCGCGTCGCTTCGATTGGCTTTATGTAAAACTACTCGTACTCACTCACCCCTTTGTCCGCGACGAGCTGGTTGAAGCGCTTCCACGTGCTCGAAGCTGGAAAGGAAATATCTCGGGAAAGCTTTCGCTAACCCGTTCACACAAAAAAGATCTTCACTTAGTTAGCCAATCGAAATCTTTATTCGGAGCGGAACCCTCCGCTCACCAACTCCGCACAGTTCTTTGTGGCACCACGAGGCCACCAGTTGGATCGATTACGCTCCTCTTTTTCTTGCGGCGGAGCGTTCCTTAAAATCGCCGCAAACGCTCCGAGCCTGGCTCCCGGGCTCGCTCGCCCCGGACCACAATCAGCTCCAGCTCCTCCGGCGACTGCTCCGACCGTGCTCTCCGGTAGGAACCCAGTCCTTTCGCGGCCGCGCCTCGTGGGCGGTTTCGCGCCGCGCTCCGACTCAATATGCGCCGTCGACTGCTCCACTGGGAACCTCGCACGACTCCACCGTCTCTCCTCACGACCGCCTCGTACTCCTTGTACCAGGCCCTCCGTTCTAAAAAGCCAAAATTATACATCGGACCTGATCGACCCTGACCTAACCTCACCGCTCACCGACACTACGATCCGTGACCTGCCTCACTTTAGCGCCGACCTTTTGGGCGCGTCTGCCCACAACCTGCGCTTCTATTTTGCTGCTGTGATCTGCTGGTGACTTCCGAAGGTGCTTGTTCTCCACCTTGCTTGTGCGTTGAACTTCTTTGGGTCACGCCAGAAAACTTCTTGGATGAACTTCTTTGGGTCACGCCAGAAATGCAAAAGAAAGTGCTGTACCCGCTCGGATTCCTGCTTCTAGCTTCCAGCTTCCAATAACGGTTTTACACCGGTTGCCAGACCTCCGGACATTGGAAACGCCTAACTCCTTGCTACGGTCCTACTACGCCAAAAGGCTCCCAGATCGGATGCCATCTCCCCCCCCCCCGGGGTTGCCACCTACACCGATCTAACGCCGACGTTACAGAAGAGGTCAATGATGCTCATCGCCCTGAATAGGCAGGACTGTAGTCTGGCGATCAAGGCCATTACGGGACATTGGTTAATAGGAGCACACGCGGCTAGACTAGCGGTGCCTCATTATGACTACTGCAGGAGCTGTGGAGACGAAGAAGAGGAAGAGACAGTCGCACACCTCCTGTGTCAATGCCCTGCGCTGGGGCGCATCCGACTCAAATTCCTGGGCGCAGCAATACTTACAGACCTTACAGACCTCGCGGAGGTCGCTCCACACAGACTCGTAGCCTTCATCCGTAAATCCGGATGGGACCGCGAGCCGCTTCAAGAAGGATAGAGCAACCTTGGGCACATAAGTAGTGGGAAGGGAGAGGTCCTTTTGTAGGATCCTTGCCTGTGCGGTATCACAAGGAGCCCTAGCGGCTCAAGTGGATGGGGATCAGAAACCGGCCCTCATCGCCGCCTCAACCTAACCTAACCTAGTGTTCAATGCTTGAACACTAATTGTCACCAGTTTTGCCCGCTCTCTACCAGTTAGTTCTGGATTGGGTAGGTTAAGTACGAGGTTCGATCGTTTGGAGTGGTTCTGAGAGCGCCACTGATACATAATGTTTTCGTTCTTTAAATTCTCCCTTATTTCTTTGTATGGGAGTAAATAGGCAGTGATAATTTAGCTAAAGCCCTGCTCACGATGTAGGGGGAAATTCCCCATTTGAGCCCATTGCTTTTTTTAAGATAAAGAGATCAGTTGCCACTTTCTTCGATCTTTTGTTTGTATTTGGGGCTTTTGTAGGGTATTTAGGTTTGTATTTTTTGTATTAGGGCTTTCTGTTTATTACCACCCCTAGGTACTTTGCGCTTTCACTGAAAGAAGGGAGGGATTTTATATCTTCTGCTGAAGAGAACTAGCTTTGGTTTTTGAGAGCATAATCTCAGGCCATAGCTGCGTAGCCACTTGGCTAAGGTTTGAAGTTTTGCGCTCATGAGGTCACAGCGTGATTTTCCTGAGAATATTATTGCCACGTCGTCCGCGTATTATCTTCCTGCCCCCCACTTTCATCTCGCATAGAATCGAATTGACTGCTATGTTCCATAAACGAGAGGGAAGTGCTCCTCTTTGCGGGGTTCCTATACAGACGACCTTTGATGGGGCTTTTATGCCTGGTGAAGACATCACTGTCCTAATTGTTAGCAATTGATCAATGAGTCCCACCAAGTCGCCATCTACTCCAAGGTACGTCAAGGCTTCGGTTGCGTTGTTTGGGAGAACGTTGTTGAGCATGAAAAGCATGAAGGGCAGTTTTTTTTTAAATTTGGCCTGTTCGTATGCGTGCTTTGGATATAAAGGTTGCGCTAAGAGAGGTTCTTAGGTGGAGGCCTATGACCCTTTCGAGGGTCCTAAGCAAAATTGAGATTCTTCACTAGTGCTGGTCCAATTTCCATCTTTTTTTTTAAGATAGCCTAGAGTTGTGGCTGATTTAAATAGAATTTTCCTCAACTTTTTGACTGAGTGCGCAACCGTTTTGCTTTTTGACTGAGTGCGCAACCGTTTTGCCGTGGTACATTTTGGAAGCGTTCCCGTTTGAGTTGCGGACGCTCCTTTTTGGGCTTCTATGCAGAGACCGCTTGTGTTGGCGTTGTGCCAAATGCCAGAAGTACGCTTTTGGCCCACTCAACCTTCTTCAGCCATTTGTCTGAGTTTCAAGAGGTTTTGACTCTTTAATGGCATCTTATTAGTTGGCCAGCGCTTCTATTCTCCGCATTCCCCGTTTCCTTAGGCATTCGCTAGCTGCTGGAGTCACGCCTTCCTTCACTACACCTAAAGGTGGCGCTCGGGCCGGGAGATGACTGCATGGAAGCAGCTTTGAATGGTTTGCATTAAGTCATCTCCAGTCAGGTACGGGCCTTACCGGGCCTTTCATAGCTGTGGCAGGTGGACTCATTCGTTCGCGTCTTCGCGTCCCAGACTCGCTCTTTGCTAGTTTATTGGGTTTTTTATGAGATCACACCTCCGTATTTTGTATTTTCTTCGTATTAGCCATAGGGTGTCCCACGCGTTGCAGAGAAAGGATAGTCCACCCTGCCGCAAATTCGCGATACCCGGGTTAGACTTTTTTAAAACAGAGGATCGCCATTTACTCTGAGTCCTCCGTTAAAGACTGGGCAGAATTTCTAGCTCGGGCCACCAGTCAAGCTGACTCTCGGCACGGGTTGAGTAACACCTTAGTCCGGCCCGGTTTGAGTTGGTGTTTTGGGATGGAAAGTGAGTAGTTACAGTTAAGAGAGGAGTCGCTCACCATGGGCGAAAAAATAAGGACAGCATGGGGATAGCTTATGTCACATATACGAAAAACACACATATTTTCTACGTCTGCATTAGTTAAAAAAAAAAGGAGAATAAGTTTTCATTCACACTGCCAGAGAAACCGCCCTACTAACATTTTATATTAATTAAATAATACTCATTAATTGATTAAAAGTTTAATTTATATAAGTTAACAATGCAACGGTTATCTAAGATAAGGACACGAAGACGGACGACGCATATGGTCTTACGACGGGCGTTGGCCGACGGCTGTGGTCTGTGCGAGTTAGGGTTACGACTAAGCTCTCCTTATCTTAAGTTAGTCAGTTCTGATCTGACAGCCGAAAAATAAAGGCACCTCTTCCAAGTCTTATGTTTTATTCCTAATCACCGTTGGAGGAATAACTGTAGCCACGACTCGGCTACCAGTTTACAAGAAGAGGATCAGCAGCATCATTGTCACTGATCGTGGCCACCACCTGGTCTTGATCGATGCACTGCATCGTTACGGAAGTGCAGAGACATCTTCAAAGTGTCCGACCGTTGTGGGCAGCAACTTGCCGCATCGGTTTCGTCAGAACCCACTATTCCGTGAGCAGCACGTGCCACGGTGGAACCCTCCTGCAAGAGCTGTGCAGGTGGAGAATGTTGTAGGCAAACACGCTGCCACAACTAAACAAAACCTTATCTGGCGCCCAACCAAGTCGAAGACCCCGACGAAATCTCCAAGCCTCGAAAACACGAGGAAACACAAAATCATCATCTCAAAACTGGTAACGTGGTCTGGACCACACAGAAGACTGCGAAAAGGAAGGAAAACTTTCATAGATTCATGTAAGTGAAACCCTTTTGTGAATTGCCAGGAAAAATTAAAAGAATCGCTAATAAAATAACATATTTCGATTTGTGTTATTTCTTATAAAACATTTCCTTTTGAAAACAGTGACGGCATTTAAGTCAAGAAATTAGAGTATTTATTTCTCTCTGTGTTGCGGTTTTTTTCTTTTCTCAAATCAGTAAAATCAATTCGCGGAGAAGAGTACGGTAAATAGATAAGCGCTTAGTTTAGCGCCTAGCTTGGCGACGGTCCAATATTTTTTTGAGACGACTGTATGAGCGATTCAGAGTCGGAAAGCTTGATTGTTCGGCTAAATAGCCTCGCGTTATCAGAAGAGGCCGCCGAACGTATAGTACAGAAAAAACAAAGTATGGATCCACAACAGCTACAGGCAATCATAAATGCTGCGGTTTCGGCCGCATTACAGGTGCAGAAACAAGAGTTTGAAGAGAAATTACAGAAAGTCACTGATAGGTTTAGCGCTGCGACACTATCTGCTCCTGATATTGCGGTATACTCGCCAGTTGCTGTAACCGGTAATACGCCTTGTGACGAAGGCCTTGAGGCGGTAAAATCATTGCCAGAGTTTGATGGCTCACAGGGAAAATATGTTTCTTGGCAACAGGCAGCACTAGCATCATATGAGTTGTTCAGACGTTTTGACGGGAGTTTTAAGCATTATCAGGCTGTTCTAATAATCCGTAACAAGATTAGGGGATCTGCTGATTCTATCCTTTCATCCTTTAATACTATTCTTAACTTTGAGGCTATTATAAGCCGCCTTGACTTTACCTATTCTGATAAGTGTACATTATACTTGCTCGAGCAAGAGCTCACAATACTAAGGCAGGGGCAGATGTCTATTACACAGTTTTATGAGGAGGTTGAGAAGAAGCTGACACTCCTAACAAATAAGACAACTATGACATATGAGACTGACCATGCTCGATATATGAATGAAAAGTATAGGGCTGATGCCCTACGTGTATTTGTTTCCGGTCTGAAGAGAAACTTAACAGACGTGCTCTTTGCTGCTCAACCTAGGGACTTGCCATCAGCCTTGGCAATGGCTCAGGAAATAGAGGCAAACCACGAGAGGCATGCCTTTGCCACACAGTATGCCAGGTCCATAGAGGAGAAACATCTTAGGCAGGCCCAGAGTAATCCATTACAAGGGACACCCTGATTCCACCTACAAACAGATACTTAAAAAGGGGTGGAAAAATCCATATTTTACCAGGGATCAAGGTCAACGAACCGTTGGTGATAATACACCATTAGAGAAGATGGACGTAGATCCAACATCGTCTAAATTCCGTCAAGCGACAAACTTTCAGCGCTATCAGGGTTCTTCCGCACTGCAGGCACTGGATGCACAGCCACAAAGTTTACACAAGAGACCGATGAACTCTCAAAGGTTGTCTGACTTTAGGCGTAAAAGGGTTAATCATCTGTTTGAAGAAGAAAAGGGTGGTCAAACCGAGGATTATTATAATCACATTGCTACTGATGCGGTAGATGACATAGATGATGAAGAAAAAATGGGCTATGAAAGTGATGCCGTGCATTTTTTAGGGGGATCGTCCCTACTTCCGTTCGTCCAACGAACGAGCGGGGGAACCACGAAAGTTTCTAGTTGACACTGGGGCCTCTAAGAGCTACATAAAGAGAGTGATTGGGTGGCCGACTTCAATTCCCGTTGATTCTCCATTTACTGTCAAGTCGCTTCATAGGGTCGAAAAAATAGAACACAAATGCCAGTTTTATCTTTTTGGTGTAGAAAGCCCTTTCTTCTTATTACCCGGGCTTAAAACTTTTGACGGCATAATTGGCCTTGACCTGTTAGCGCAAGTAGGTGCGACCATTGATCTTAAAAGCAATTCTATTAAATTTAATGGGGCCCGTGAGGATCTGCACTTTCAAAAATGCGCTCAGGTTAACTTTACGAATATTGAGGATATTGTCGTGCCCCCAAGAGTGCAAGAAACTTTTCAGCAGATTATGTCTAAATACTCAGGGGCCTTTGCTGACCCAAATAAGAAGTTGCCGTTCAACACAAATGTTGTAGCGACTATTCGGACAGAGGATAATGAGCCGGTTTATTCAAAACTGTACCCGTTTCCGATGGGTGCTGCCGATTTTGTCAATCAAGAGATTAAGGACTTACTAAAAAATGACATTATTCGACCATCTCGGTCTCCCTGCAATAACCCCATATGGGTTGTCGATAAAAAGGGCTCCGACGCTTCGGGATCGCCCAATAAACGCTTAGTAGTCGATTTCAGAAAGTTAAATTTGAAAACTGTTGCCGAAAAATACCCCATGCCGAGTATAAATATGATACTGTCGAATCTGGGAAGGGCCAAATTTTTCACTACCCTCGACCTTAAGTCCGGATACCACCAGTTAGAGCTTGCGGAATTGGACAGGAGAAAACTTCTTTTTCGGTCAATGGAGGCAAGTACGAGTTCTGCCGGCTACCCTTCGGACTAAAGAATGCCTCAAGCATTTTTCAAAGGGCAATTGACGATGTCCTCCGGGAGAAAATAGGAAGGATCTGTTACGTCTATGTGGATGACGTTATTGTCTTTTCAGAAACTGAAGAATCTCATGTTGACCATATTGCGGATGTTTTAAAATGCCTGCAGGACGCCAACATGCGAGTGTCCAAGCAAAAGTCACACTTTTTTAAAGAAAGTGTCGACTTCCTCGGTTTTGTTGTGACAAAGGAGGGTACTAGGACAAGCCAGGACAAGGTAAAAGCCATCAAGGATTTTAAACAGCCAAGTACTTCGAGCTGAGATTGTTCTTGGGCTTAGCGAGCTACTATCGATGCTTCATCAAAGATTTCGCATCAATAGCGAGACCTTTGACAGAGTTACTGAAGGGTGAAGGTATATAACGATGATATCCAGAACGTTGAAGGATAGGGAACTAAATTATGCCTTGAATGAAAGGGAACTACTAGAAATTGTATGGGCCCTGGATAGTCTTCGTCACTATCTCTATGGAAAAAGTGACATAAACATATTTACGGACCATCAGCCACTTATATTTGCGGTTTCTGATAAGAATCCTAATTCAAAACTCAAGCGCTGGAAGGCCCGCATTGAAGAAAGTGGTGCAAAGCTCATGTATAAGCCAGGAAAGGAAAACTGTGTGGCGGACGCTTTGTCGCGGCAACGTATTCACACTCTGCAAAGTTCAGCGGAGTCGGATCGAGCCACTATTCACAGTGAAGAGTCATCAACACTTGTTATTGAGGCCACGGAAAAGCCAGTTAACTGTTTTCAAAACCAAATCATATTGCAGGAGGCGTCCACGTCAAATAAGCGACTATTTATTGTGTTTGGTACTAAGACTCGACATCAAATTGATTTTTCTGATTGGGAGACATTGGTGGACTTAGTGAAGCCCTTAGTGACGTAGTAAAGCCCAACGTCGTGAACGCCATACATTGTAAGCTTCCAATTTTGGCCCGCATTCAAGATAGTCTGGTTCGGCTCTTCCCGGCCACTAGATTTTGGTATTGTAAGTATTGGGTGTCGGACGTTATCAGACCGGACGAGCAAAAAGAAATACTAGTTGTGGAGCATAACAGGGCTCACAGAGCTGCCCAGGAAAATATTAAACAAGTGCTGCTTGACTATTATTTTCCAAAAATGGGCAAAATAGCAACTGAAATCGTTCTAAACTGCAGGATTTGTCAGAAAGCAAAATATAATAGGCACCCATTGAAGCAGGAATTAGGAATTTCGCCAATACCATCGCGGGTGGGAGAGATGTTACACATGGACATCTTCTCAACAGGGGGAAATTACTTTCTCACTGCTGTCGATAAATTCAGCAAGTTTGCGGTGGTCCAGCCAATAGCATCGCGCGCCATTTTAGATGTGAAAACTCCAATCCTTCAACTGGTGAATCTCTTCTCTAATGTGCGATCGATTTATTGCGATAATGAGGCATCGTTTAACTCCGAAACTATACGGTCCATGCTGAAAAATCATTACGATATCGATATAGCAACTGCCCCACCTTTACACAGCATATCAAATGGACAGGTGGAAAGATTCCACAGTACTCTTATAGAAATTGCCAGGTGTCTAAAATTGGAGAGGAAAATAGACGATGTCACGCAATTATTCCTTCAGGCGACTATAGAGTACAATAGGTCATTTCACTCTGTCATTAATAGAAAACCTATTGAGATCATCCATGCTAGTGCTGACTATGCCCCGGACATAATTATGAACCTTAAAAAGGCACAGCAGGAGCAGTTAAATCGTGACAATCCAGCTCGACAGAATAGGGTATTTAACGTAGGTGAGAGAGTTTTAGTAAAAACCAACAAGAGACTGGGAGATAAGCTTACTCCTTTGTATGTCGAGAACAGGGTCAAAGCTGATACTGGGACAACGGTCCTAATTAATGGTAGGGTGGTCCATAAGGACAATATTCGATAAGGGCCACCAAAAAAAATAGCTTAAATTGAAAATAACGTATCTGCTTTCACTCTTTCAAAAGTAAATGTTGTAATTCACTTAATATTAACACTAATCCTAAAGGCGATTTTGAAAGAGGGTTTCACAAAGGCTAACTTTCTGCTTAAGGTGGCTAAGATGAAAATAAGAAATTGTTGAATTTTGTAATATTAATATTTAGTTTGTATGAAAATACTAGCTAGTAAGAAATTGTTGAATTTTGTAGAAATAATATTTAGTTTGTATTAATATTTAGATGAAAATACAAGCTACTAAGAAATTTTTGAATTTTGTAAAATCATTATTTATTTTTTATGGTGTATCTTATACATCTTATGATTCCTGTTATTTTTTCACTAAACGAAAAAAGCCCGCAGCATATAACGGAGCTGCAATTACCTACAACAAAATGCCAGCTGCAGCAGCGCCTAACTGCTTCGCGTTCTGCGTATCGATAAAGATAAAGATTTATCAGACGGCGAAGCAGAGCCTCGATAGTGGTGACTCAAATCAAAGATTATAAAGTACATAGATGGGACATCAGGGCCCAAAACGGTCAACTTTTTGCGTCGAGCTTGTTGGTGAGGGGGGAACGCACATACATACGATTCTATTTTTAGAACTCTTTTCATGTATCCGTCAACAAAAATTTGAACCTATGTGTGTATGTGTGACTGCTCGCACGACGGAGTAAAAATGTTTTGGCTTCCAAATTTCAATTTCGATTTCTCGTTTCTGTTTTCGATGCGCCGATGTGGTAGTTGGTAGAACAAATAGTATTTTTGATCGCGGCAGATCTAGACAGTATGGTAGCGTAATGCATAGAGTAGCTACTCTATGTGTAATTTTTCTGTGTTCAAATCCTCGTAAGGACAATGAACTTTTTCTTTCTTTTATAATTATTATTATTTTTTTTTCTTTAATTGTAATTTTTTTCTTTAATTTTACAATTGTAAAATTGTTTAATTCTTCATTATGTCCGGCTAATAAAATTTCAAGGGAGTTCTTCCGGCATTTTGTCATCCGACACGTCCGTCACTTATTTTTACTTTAATTGTTATAGAATGCAATTAAAAATAATAATAATACCGTAAAAATTAAAAGTAAAAAAAAAAAAAAAAAATAAAAGTAAATATTAAAAGAATCATAAAACTAAAACTTTATCAAAATCGAAACAACCGCCCGCTAATGAAGTCAAACCCAGGACCCCATGAATAAGGATCGCGCACTATCCATCTAGGCTACCCTCGAAGTCGATTTTATGATACTTAAAATTGGTGTTAAAGGAGGCGCTAGAATCTATACCAAAAACAGAGCTGACGAGTAAGGATAGTAAAAGATATTTCTGATCTCTTTACTCTTACATTGGTTCGATTACAACGTTTCAAACTTTCATCGTTCCAAAGATGTTACGATCTAAAAATAGAATTCTCTCTCTCCCTATCTCATCTGCCAGGCGTTTGTCGTGGAACCCGCTCTCAAATGTTTTCATTATACAGCGGGTTCCACGACGGAAAAAATGAAAACATTTGAGAGCGGGTTCCACGACGCCGCCTACCAAAATGCCGTAGAACCCGCACTTATAGACATTTTTACAGCGGGTTCCACTACGAACTGAGACGATGTTAAGGTGATTTTACAATTTTGTATTTTTTTTTATTGGATTATAAATTTAGGAAAACACATTAAAATAATAAAACAATAATATAAATAGATTTAAAATTAAAAAAAAATGGATGTCCCGAGCCTGGTTTGAACTCATTTTACTTTGCACACCAGCCAAGCAATCTGCCACTCGGCTATTCCTCATTCGTTGTCTCGCGAAAAATTTCTCAAACTTAACTTGTCGCGCAGTGGAACCCGCTCGTTCCAGCGGGTTCCACTGCTGGAACCCGCCATAGAAAATTTTTCTTTGTATGAGATGTCCCATCTATGTACTGTATAATCTTTGCTCAAATCCACGCTAACATGGATATGGCCGAGGACGTCCATGTTTTAAAAAAGGAGAGTAGTTAACAATGCAACGGTTATCTAAGATAAGGACACGAAGACGGACGACGCATATGGTCTTACGACGGGCGTTGGCC